GGCTGCCGAGATGGGAAGGAGGACACTGGTTTATTTAGCACTTGCTATGTGGCTGACTTGATGCTAGACGCTTTACTAGCACGTTTTACTTTATGTCTCAGTTCATATTAACAACAGCACTGAAAGGTAGGCATCACTGTCTGCAGTTTACAGATGGGGATCATGAGGCTTAGGGGAGTTTCAGGGAGCTCTGCTTAAACTAATAAAGCTCACCAGCAGCAGATTCAGACTCTAAAGCACAGGCTCCCTCCTCCTCACAGGTCAGCCTGAATTTCACAGGATGCCTGCAAAGATGTCTGGGTCTCTTTTAAGAGGAACGGGCTGGCCTCCGGGAAGCCCACAAAGACCCTCTAAGAGTGTCATCACCAAACCACGCCTGTTCCGACTGCACCTTTATCCATGCTGATTCTTCTTCCTGGAAGGTCCTTTCCTCCCATTCCCTACCTCTTCAAGTCTCACTCCTTTAAAGTCCAACTCACTCATGCACCACAGCCTATAACCACAGCTGACAAAGAGCTCACTGTGCCAGGTAAGGCTCCAAACCCTTATGGCTCCATCTCACCTAAAACAGCCTCACAGGGCCCCTTTCCCACTCCTCCCACGGTATCCCACTGAGATGGAGCACAGCTCCCTTCTGGGACTCCCCTGACTGTGCCTCTGTCTGCCTCCCCTACCCCTCTGAATCCTCCTAGGTGCAGACTGTAGGTGACTCGCTGTGCCTGCCACTCATGGATTCTTGACTGAATAGACTTTTTTCCGATGTGAATTTAGCAGATGGAAATCAAAAGGATGGGTATTAGGATCCCAGGAGCAGCTCACTTGAAGAACTCACATGGTACCTTGCAGCACAATCTTGGGGAAATGCCAAGTTTCATGACATCATCTGGGAAGTGAAGAAGTAATCTACCTAAGCCAACACTTTCCCTAAACCAGAGTGGGGTGGGAGAAATCATCTCTGGCCTTACCTTATCTTCTTCCATGGAGTACATATAGAGAAAAGTACACAGATCATAAGTGTACCACTTGATGCGTCGGTACTCACGCGACCAGTATGCAGGTTAAGAAACCCCCCAGGCGTGCCCCCCGTACTTCCTTTCAGTCACTCCTATCCCAACAGGAACTACTATCCTGACTTCTTTTTTTTCTTTTTCTTTATTTTTACTTGGTGACTCTGCATATATTTTCAAACAGACTTTTTTTTTTCTTTTTTGAGACAAAGTCGCTCTGTCACCCTGGCTGGAATGCAGTGGCATGATCTCAGCTGACTGCAACCTCCACCTCCCAGATTCAAATGATTTTCCTGCCTCAGCCTCCCGAGTAGCTGGGATTACAGGTGTGTACCACTACGCCTGGCTAATTTTTGTATTTTGAGTAGAGTTTTAACATGTCTGCCAGGCTAATCTCGAACTCCTGACCTCAAGTGATCCGTCTACCTATGCCTCCCAAAGTGTTGAAATTACAGGTGAGAGCCACTGCGCCAGGCCTTTTTTTTTTTTTTTTTAAAGACAGAGTTTTACTCTGTTGCCCAGGCTACTGGAGTGGAATGGCGTGATCTCAGCTCACTGAAACCTCTGCCTCCTGGGTTCAAGCAATTCTTGTGCCTCTGTCTCCTGAGTAGCTGGGATTAAAGGCGCTCACCACCATGCCTGGCTAATTTTTGTATTTTTAGTTGAGACGGGGTTTCACCATGTTGGCCAGGCTGGTCTCGAATGCCTGGCCTCAAGCAACTCGCCCACCTTGGCCTCTCAAAGTGCTAGGAATACAGGCATGAGCCATTGCGCTCCACCACTATCCTGACTTCTAACCAATGGATTGGTTTTTGCCTGTTTTGCACTTTCTGTAAATGGGATCATATGGCGTGTATGCCTACAGGCATGCACCCAGATATAAATGTACAAACTCTTTTGAATCTGCCTTCTTATGTTTGTGAGATTCATCCATATTGTTGTGTGTAGTTATAGATCATTCATTCTTGTTGCTGTAAGGGAATTTATTTGGTGATTTCTTTCTACTGCTGGGCATTTGAGTGCTTTCTAATGTCTGTGATGAGTAGTGCCACTAAGATCATCCTAGTTATGTGCCTTTTGGTGCATGCATGTATTTCTGTTGGTTACGCCTAGGAGTGGAATTAATGGTTCATATAGTCTGCACATTTCTGGTTTAGTAGACACTTTCGGCCTTATCTTTGATGGATGCAAACTTACCATCTGCCCGGAGTACCCAGCTTATATTCATCAAAATTGAATAGTCCCCTGTTGCAACATTCGTTTTAACAGTTTCCACTCGGAGGTCCTTCAAGTCTCCAGGGGTTAGATCATGTTGTAGCATCCACTCTGGAGACGGCCCTGGGAAAAGGCAAGACTTCCAGGACACTCTCCTTCCCAGCCCAGTCTGATGCCATCTCCTCTCAGTGACCCACCGCAAACCTTCCCCCATTCACAATTCCTCACTTCTTTCTTATTTTAAATTTTTGTAGAGATGGGGGTCTCACTCTGTTGCCTAAGCTGGTCTCAAACTCCTGGTCTCAAATGATCCTCTTGCCTCAGCATCCCAAAGTGTTGGGATTATAGGTGTGAGCTACGACGTCCAACAATTCCTCACTTCTTCCTGCTAAGGCCAAATGTTTCTTAGTACTGGCTGATTTATATCAGAGACAATGTTGATTTAAGAGAATCAATGTTGATTTAACCACCTGGCCTCTACCTACAGAGCACTTAGGACCACTCCAGGTGCCTGTGTATATACATAGGTATATATATTTAGTGTATTTGACATGTTTATTAGTCATCCCTGTCTTCCTCATGCCTTGGCCCTGGACTCCAGCCAGCTGTCCCACACAACCCCCTTTCCCACCTCCTAACATTTGCTGTTGCCATCTCCCCTCCAGCTCACTTTCCCTACCCACATTTTTTGGGCAGAAGCCTACCTATTCTTCAAATACCATCATCTCAAACACTCGCTCTTCTTTGAAACGTTTGCTTCTTGATCCCAACTCTAAACGACCTTCTTCCCACGGCCTCTGTCTCCCTCTGCAGAGTGGCAGGCATCACTTTCCACCTTGTAAGGTAAGCCCTACCCTGACTGGACAGGAGGCCAGTCTGTCTGAAACACTCTTCTTTCCCCCAGACCCCAGAGTTCTGCCTTAAGCAGACAGAGACTTCATTTGCATCAGCCAACAAAGCAATGGTTCACCCTGTGCCTGGTCTTTGATAACCTATTGCCTGTATTTAGGCATCCTAAAAGTCCAACTGTGCTTTCAATGTAAAGTTCCAAATACCCATTCTCTAATGCACCTACCAGTTTCAGAGCCACATTGAATGGTCTGTGGGAGAGAAAAAAAACGAGCGTCATGCTGAAGCCATCAAACCACAAGCTTTCCTTTGCCAAATTAGGCAGAACACCATTTTTCCCTTAAATTCATATACGAGTGACAAACTTTCAAAGAAAAGATGAACTGGTTCTGCTTCACAGCTTAGGGGGAAACTAAGCTGCCCACTGTAGGCTATGATGGACCATGGATTAGCCATCAGTATACCTGATCCTCAAGCCTGTGCATAACCTCACTAAAAGACCAGAGGTGGGTCTCCACCCGTCTCTGGGTGTCAGCCTTCCCTGCTGCAAGCAGGGGATGACTCAAGACTGATGAGAGGCACCTTTACACTCTAATGTTTAACGCTAAGTTTTTAGGCTGGCCTGGAGTGTTTACCAGCTTTCCCCAGGTTAAGGAGTAGCTATGCTAAAGAGGTAAACAAAAGAAAGCTTTGAATTCAGTCGCAAGGTACTTCCCTCAGGTTCTTTAAAATATTTCCCTTCTAACACAGGACTCACCGAGCAATTTAGGAAACCATAAGCAA